TCACACCCCCCCCCCCCCCCCCTCCCCGTTGAGGTATTCGCGGATCGGATGCTACGCGTACTATGTGATGAACCAGGACGAAATAATCAGCACGTGGGCGAAATAACTACTATGTAACAGGATTCACTTTGGGCACTGCTGAGGCGCACAGAAAGCGGTCCTTCCTTCGTCCCGTCTATTCTAGGCTCCAGTCTACACTCTACTGTACACACCTTGCAGTGGTACAGTCTTACGCATATGTACGTTTGACTCATCAGCCGGGGTCACCGGCAAGTGCCTACACCACCCGTGATTGAATTGGTGGTCTCGTGGTCTCCCATTGACATAGCAACTCGACGAGTTTTTTCGTCGGCGTTGCGTCGCCTGCCTTAACCTTAAACTTCATTTTTCTCACGAGAAACCGCAAGTGCCGACAACAACACTCATCTCGAGAGAGGAAGCCAGCAAGAGCGACCGTCTTCCAAAAGCCTGATATGAGTGCTGCACGATGAAGACGGTGCCAACACCTCTCGATGCCCGCAAGGAACGGCCTCGACGCATCGAGCTAGGAGGAAAGTCAACTTAGGTTGTGCGCCATGACTCTGCAGGTTTAGGGTAACCACTAGTGTGATTCGATTGGAGGCTTCCCATATAGGGCGTTCTTCCCCGTGTTGACTGATGTGGGGGTCCATGCACCAGCCGTGTTTTCAGCAGTAGGTTGGCGCGCACTCGATCGTGCGGGCGCAGGGCTCAGCAAAATACCAAAAGACTGCCGTGGGGTATACGAAAGACTAAATTTGAGGTCGATTTCAGCGAGCTTTGGGGTTTTTACCTTCGGGTCCATTTATTTGAGTACACCTTTTTCGGGGTTCAGTGACAACGGGAATCGACCGCGTCGAGTGATGGATCAACACGGACGGATAAGGTAATGGGCGAGAGATCGGAACGGTTATCAATGCGGAGACAACAACAGCACAACCGCTTATCGACCATTGGGGTCACCAGTCACCAGCAGACCGAATACCATGGTACATGGTACACGCCATCTTCGAGGAAAATCAACCTTTCTCGGAACAGCCATTGTCTAGATCTCTCGGCGCTAAAAGATGAGCACCACTACTGTGTTATTGCATGTGTGTGCGTGTGTCTTTTGGAATTAGCATCGACCGCGCTAGCCGGCTGACCAACGAAAAGACGTCAATGCTATCAGCTGGATAAAAAACGCAAAACGCACTATTAGCACAGAGGTATGAACATAAACTGCGGAGATTCTAGGACCAAAACCCGGAAATCAACAACCAAAAACCACACACATATCCAGCTCCTGAGGATATGTCGCGGAGCCCCTCCTGGGAGGGTGTCAAAACGGAGGACCTTGAAGTAAGCCAGAAAGGTGGAGACATGCGCCGTGGGAGGCGATGCCACTGCCGTGGCTTGAACCCACGCATACTTTCGTGAGAGAAGAGCCGACTTGATAATAACACTGGGGGACCTCCTAATTTGTCCACTTCTGGGAAGAAGAACGTAGACAACAGCAACATTGGGTGTACTCGAAAACTCCCAAGGGATGTTAACGGGGTGTAGAACCGCACCGCGGTGGGGATTTCTGTGTATGTCAACGTCAGTGCTATCCTGTTGTGACAAAATATCACGGAGAATCTTAACGCTCTGGGATTTCCTGCACGTTGGTGTTGTACAGCACTTTTTGTTGTTGTCTTGAAATTACAAACAGTTCCCGTCTCTCGCAGTACCTTCTACTAAATGTCCGTATTCTACTACTGTAGTCCATCGAAAGTACGGACACAATTTTGTGTGCACAATCATGTATTGCTTGCTGTACATGGAGGCCCGCCAACCGCGGTGGGGATTTGCTATTCTTCACTATTACCAGGGAAGTGGCAACAAAAAATAGTCATGCCGTGCAACAACGATCATGCCGTGCAACAACGTTGTTGGGCAACATATTTTAGTCCATGGAGATTAGAAGTACAACTTTTCGCACATCTGCCTCTACTTCTGTACATGGAGGCCGCCTACAGCAGTACGGCATCTCGCGCGCCCTTCCGCCAGAAAACCCCCCACAGACACAAGGTTACACCTGGATGTAATTTTTATTTCGCCCTCCGGGCTTTCCTGCAGCACAGGGGCAGGTCCCAGTAGCCTTCACGAGGATATGTATCTTGGTTTTAGTAGGGGTTGCGGGGTTACAGATACAGGCTGACGACGCGGAAAAACAGCAGGTCGTGATAGGGAACTTCTGCGTGGTTCGGACCGCCCACAAAAGCGTGGTCTCCGCGAACCTACTTGCTGTAAAGTCAAAGGTAACTTTTTGGTGGATGAGAGATAAAGGTAAGTTGGTTGGGTGTGTGTGTGTGTGATTTTTATTACACACATCCATGTATTAGAATCGACCGCGCTAATCGGCCGTGCGTGTGCGTATGTGGGTGTGTGCTTACAGCAGCAGCAGGATCCAGGATCCCTGTGTGTGTGTCCGTTTTTTTTTTATATTAATAACAACACCAAGAGCCCCGGATTTAGTCATAAATAGCTAGCATTAGCATACGTCTAGCAGTTTGGTGGCCAAAAACAAAATAAAAAAAGGAGTCAAACAAAAAAAATGTGGTGGCGAGTATGGTGAGCTCGCCACACAACCTGTGGAACGAAGGTTTTCTCTCGCATACTGTACACGAAAAAAAAACACCCCCCAATGCTTGTGTCTATAATGTGTGTGTGTGTAGGTGGCCAGGTCCTACACAGCAGAGGCGTATCTGTGTATCTGTGGATTTCACAGCAGATGAACAACACTTAATATTTATCCGTTGCG